TTTTAACTAGTTTTGTATTAAAAATCTCGATTCATGTTCACTGATCGTGATTTAGTTAATTATAGGTCATTAATGTCTACGGTGAAGATATATACACTGGCACCGCTCAGGTTCCGCCATACGGTGGTATATGGTATGCGTGTAGTAACTTTAGTACAACTTATATAAGTAAGTTTTCTATTTACATTTAACACATTTGAAGTGCATTTTAAAGGAGATTAAATCGCTGAGTAAGGCAACATATTTTATAATGGTAAATAGGTTACAGTCTACGCGTTTCCAACACATCGTTGAATGTAACTCCCGGTTTCATCGGCACGACTGTACCTGGAAAAGCGCCATACGACATTCCTAAATATCTTCCTGCGCTTATAACTTATCAATTGACTGCCGGAAACGCGACAATTTTTGCCTCCAACAGTTCGAAGTTTGATTACATTCCATCGTTATCCTGTTATCAACAACCAGTTCAATCTTGTGATCAAGATGTTGGTGATTTACCACTGGACGACAATCTTTCCCAATGCTTGGCGTTACAAAATCCAACTGGTCAAATAGTTTATTTCAATTTGAGTATTAGTTGGGTTAAAAGTGTGTTTAACAACGGCTTTACAAGTCCCGACGTTCCAGGAGGACATGAAAATATAAAAAGCATTGCGAGTTCTAACAATCAAGTTTATGGACTTGCACAATCCTTGATTTGTATTTTTATTGTTCTTATGTTTAGCAAATTTTCTTATTAGACTTTTCTGATTATATGTATATCACTTTTCTGTATTTATTTGTACAATATGTATCTCATTTATCAAATTAAACAGATCAGAAAAACTCGTTTGGATACTCATTAATTACTCTCACTACATAGTGATTGCATTTCTACTTTAGATTATTTACATTATTTACATTATTTATAATATTATTAATAAAGTTACATATATATATATAAGTATTACAAGTTATAAGCATCAATTTTGACTTGGAAAATGCGTAAACCATAATGATTAGACAAGAATATACCTTTATCCAAGAAGAAGGCCAATTATTTAATCGAAGGTTTTTTTTTAAAAATAATAGTTCACATTCGGCTAATTACGATTAGCGTTAGCTCTCTTCAAATTACATGTCATTAAATAACGCCTGGGGCGTTATTTGTGTAATTATAGGGAGAAAACGTTAGTAGGAGATATATTTGAATCATTATTTTTCTGAAACAGCATAACTTTTTTTTTTGGAAATTTATTCATTTGCTGCAAGATACCATACGACAAATCTATATCTGGGAGTACGTTTTCTTCCAATCTAGATCACGATCAATGATCAAAACCTAACCAGAAGTAGAATGAATTAGCCCGAAGGTAGTTTAATTAGCTGATACGTAACAATAATATCATATAAAAATTTCTCACGTCCACCCAAGTCTCGGAAATTAGTTCGTCTCAAGTGAACCAGAGTTTTTTTTGAATTGAGCTGGTTGTCACTCCGATACTTATGATACTTATGTACAGGGCGATCCTTATTCGAATACCTTGAGACTAATTCTGAGCTTAGAAAGTGTCATTCCTGCATAATTGTGTGATTAAGGAATTGGAAAGACATTCATGCAATATCGGTTATTGTTAATGTCCTTATTTATGGTGTCGGACTTTTAACAGCCCTATTAAAGTAATGCATTCTCTGCTATTTCAAATAAAAGCCATCGTATTTTGTATACTTCTCTTTAATTTCTTGGATCGTCTCTTTCGTTCTTCGAGTTTAAAAAATCATTCAAACCACGTGATCGAATAGTAGGAAAAAAATGTCTTCTAATAAAGAAAAACCTCTGTCACATACGACCATTCCAATATCTCGTAATGAAACATCTCAAATTTCAATCTCACAATCACATATACAACCACAGATATCACCATCGATAAAATCCAAATTCTCTTTTCTATTTACAAAAGAATTTGGTTCCATTTTTTTACTTGGTCAATTTCTTTCGTTATGCATCACGGGTGCAATTGTTCTTGTCACCGTTTTAACACTTAATTATAATACCAGTTTACCTGCAACTTTAAGTTTTTTAATCTATACAACTTTGGCTTTTATTTATACGCCTATTACCATCTATAAGAATGGTATACGTGCATACTTGGGAATTATTAAAGTTCGCGGATGGAAATGTAAGTTCTTTACTTGTTAAAAGGTCTATTAATACTGTAATATGTATAATCACGTGAACGTCTCCACTCTTTTTAGATTTATTGCTTTCGATTGTAGACTTAGAGGCAAATTATTTCGGAATAAAAGCTTACGCATATACATCTATCCTATCTACGGTCCTGCTCGACGCCTGGGCGATCCCAGTATGCGTGATATTATCTATATTCTTTTTGCATGTAAAATATCATTGGTCTCAATACTTAGGTATAGTAATTTGTATGGCCGGAATCGGTGTCTTGATCGAGGCTGATTTTCAAAGTGGAAAAGATATGTACTATGGTGAGTTTCAATAATCAAGTTCTTTTTTTTTTTTCTTTATATTTACACAAATAATATATTCTAATCTTGTTTGAACAAAGCATTGGATCCGATAAAGGGTGATATATTTTGCTTAATAAGTGCAACGTTTTATGGAATATCTAATGTTGCCGAAGAATATTATGTGAGAAAACGGCCAACATACGAAGTATTAGGACAAATGGGACTTTGGGGAATGATTATGGGTGGAATTCAAGTGTAGGATCAAAAAAAGAAGTTATTGTGAATTTTATATGTTGTATGCGAAAAATTAATATTTTCATAAATTATGCGTTTTTTTTTTTTGAAAGAGTAACTTTGGAGCGTTTCGATTTGGCAAAAGTTGTATGGACCGGACCTATAAGTATTTATTAATCTTGAACATCATCAATTCGAATGTCGATTTAAAATTCAAATTTTTTGTTTTATGAATAGTCTGCCTTGTTGTCTTTACTGTGATAACGGTCGTAGTGACATACATAGGGACTCCAATATTGTTCCGGTTAGCCTCGGCAACATTTTTTAATCTTTCTTTCCTTACCAGTGATTTTTTCACTTTGATATTCAGTGTGTTTTTATTTAAAGCTGTGGTATGTATTTAAAAGTTATTTTGATTCATTCAAAGTTTTTTTTTACATTATTATTATTAATTTTTTTTTATTTTTTTTACGATTTTTTTATTTTTCTTTTTTTTTCAAAAAAACAGATGCACGTACTATATCCAGTAGCGGTAGTCTGTACGATAGTGGGTCTTTTAGTATTTTATATTTATCCAGCAACTCTACCGGTAATTAAACCTGATGACGAAAACAGTGCGGAACAAGTTGTTTCAGATGAAGGTACCGCAATGACAAATGTCTGAATTAATGGCCAGACGATAAATTATATCGTAGATTGAAATCAATAGAAATTTTTTTTTATGTAATAAAATAAGCGAAATGCTATCTGTATACAGTTCTTGACACAAAAAAATTATGCCACTTCATGCATTCTTTAAGCCTAAACATAATTTAATAATATTTGACCCACAAAACTAATCATACTACGTACGCACGTACGTACGTACGTAATAGGGATTCTATAAAAATATTCGATTTATTCGATAGTAACAACCAAAGGAATACATTAACGTTAAACACTATTGCTACTATAGGGTTTAACCAATCAGTGAAATAGTTGACTAACACTAATGCTACTGTTAATTTAACTAAATTTAGCCAAGTTAAAACGTAACCAATAAATTGAGTTCAATTTAATTAAATATAAAAATATTCAATAAATCTTTATGAAGACGTTTGTTTCTCTTTCTTAAAAATCAATTACCATTATTAATAATGAAAGAAAAAAAAAATATAGAGTTCACAAAAATTTAATTTATAATTCTAATACAATAAATGTCTATGCCAAATGCAGTATGAATGGTAAAAAAAAAAAAAAAATGAAAGTGGAATATTAAACGAATAAACACAATGTTCATTAATTGTTTGTCAGATTATTCGGGTTCGAATTCCTTTTTTAACAGGAGGTATGCACTTACAAATTTTTATTTGTTATGTACGTACGTACGTCTGTACGTAGTACCTGTTTTTCGAGTAACAACGAGCTCAGTTTTCAGTTTGTTGACCTAAAAATCCTTCTTCAATGTAATAGCTATAGTTTTCAAACTCAGGAGCTAAGTTAAATTGCCACTCATCACTTTGAGGAGAATGAGGAAAGTCAAATATTCCACTAGGGGCTAACAGGGCAGGATCCAGGTAATTAAATCCAGGTTGTAAATTTTGATTTCCTTCAATATAATGATTTGGATGCAAATTATCATTCTGAGTAAAGTATGGTGATTGTAAAGTATTTGGAAGGGAAATGCCAAGTGCATTATTGCTTTCTGCCCTAGTCGTTTCGAAAGGGCTGCTGGACCGTCTTCGATCACAATTGGAACGTGTGCGACGTAGAGGTACCGACTGTTGCCTATATCGATTGTCGCAACTTGTAGAACGTGAACGACGAATTTTGGGTCCACGTTTTCTTTGAGGCTCATATAAGCATTCTTTTTCTTGTTTGGAGCATCGATCACAAGGCATATCCCCCGAACATTTGACTTTTGCTAGTGCACAAGGTCGACAAGCAGATTTAACATAATTACCACGGTTTTTAGCGTTAGTGGGATTACTGTTATAATCCGGTGATATTGAAACCGATGGTATTTGTGTAGAGTTAACAGAGTTAATGTTAATTTCAGAAGTTGAATTAAACATATTTGAAAGGATTTATCAGGTTTTTAATAATTATAATTATAATGAATAATAAATTTAATGAATGATAATTCTAATGGTTTTGAATTTGGTCGCTACTACAGTGTTTTTATATATTTTTTTTTCATACTGCGTGCGTCTCGGAATAATTGATCGAAAGATTGCGTTACAATGTAAATAGTACCATTTACCAGGTGTTCATTCTATCAAGGAATATAAAATGTGAAAATAATAAAGAATAAATATTACAATTCAATTAGTAGTGATGATCGATTATATCAAATCTGCCTTAGTATTACCTATTTGAAACCTTTTTATGGTTCTGAAATTTATGTTAAGTTACGTCAAAAAAAAGCGAATCTAAAAATGAAAATTTGTGTTACTGAATATTAACATATAAGTATTCATTCGAATATTCTATCGTGTTATAGAACATATTATAACATCATAATACCATGTGATTTCACAAATTTGGGTTAAGTCTCGAATCACGGAATTTCTTCTTTTATTAGTGACCAAATATATTCTTAACCGACCATTTATGTACTACTTTTTTAATAATATTTCAAAAATAAATTTACACCTTTTTCAACTATATACTTTAATTATAGAAATGCTTTTTTTTTTATAGTTTTCAAAAAAAGATTTTCTAATCGATTCGGTAAAATAATTGTTTTCTATATGTCGATACATATACAGTCAACCCTCGTTAATATTAAAAAAAAGGCTCAAACTATATAAAAACTACCCTGTTGTTTATCAACCCTCGTATATATCAACATAATTGTCTAATCCAAATGGGTTGACATTAACGAGGTTTGACGTATTTTTTAATAAGTTATTAATAAATTGATCTCCAGGACTTTTGATCAACGTAAAGTTTTCATACCGATACTGTTACAAGTCAGGATTACGACTTCTGGATTTTCTAACCGAAGTATGGGGATCAAATTCTAGAAATGTTCGGTAAGGCTACCCAAATAAGGCCGAGGATTATAATATCGCTTTGATTATCCCGGATAGATCGGAAAAATATTATTACTCTAACCTTAAAGTTTAAGCCATTTTCCAGAATTCTAACACCTAAACTCCACGCTGATCTTTGTTCATTGTAATATTGTTGAAGATTAACAGTATCGGTATGATTCTCTTAAACAGTGCCTTAATCAATACAATGTAAATGCATTGTTTGATACATTTATCCTTACCGCACGCATGTACATACCAAACTTCTCAATCGTATAGTTCCCCTAATTAAGCATC